AAGAAAAAGGGTTTCAAACCTTAGCCATAGCCCTAAAAGGTACATTTTTGCAATTTTTTGTCCAACCCTTACTTTCCCCCCTTAATAAACCCATTCAATGAAACACCCCCGTCTCTCTCTCTTAAGGTAAAAAAGAAAGCCAAAGACGAGATCTTTCTCCTCCCCCCTACCGCTCCCCCCCCTCCCCTCCTCTCTCTCTCTCTCTCTCTCATCTCTCTCACACACAAAGAGGGTCCAAGTCTGGGTCCAAATTCCTTGGATCCTACCTGGGTTGGGTCCAAATTTAGGTATGGCATGAATCCTATATGGTCGGGTCGAGATTGACAAACCCAACTGGACAATAAGTAAATATATAGATTACATGAAATATAAATGTTATTTTTTTTAATTTCCAATCCCTAGTCAGGGTCCATATGACTTGGGCCCAATCCAGATCGGGGTCGGGTCCCCACATTGGATCTGAGTCCAAGTCACTTGGACCTGACCCAAGTCCAACAGGAACCTATCTGGACTGGGGGGAATAGCCGGGTCAAATCCAGATCGGGTCAAGTCGGGGTTGATCCTACCCGTTGCTACCCCTAAAGGAAACAAGTGCCAAACAGAATAGAGGGTAGGGTAGCATAGAGCAAAAGAAAAAAGAAGGTAGCCTAGAAGGGCAGCTGTGCCCCTTCTAACCTTATGTCAGTGTGTGTAAGGAAGAAAAGGGAGACAATTTAGGTGGTACATCAGCAATTGTACCATAAAAAAAAGTTCATACAAGTAGATCCAAAGAGGAATGAGAAAAGTAATTGGACTTTAATATAGGAAGAATAGGGAAGTTTACGCTCATGTTCTTTAAATTTTTTTTATTTGAAGAACTCCCCATTGTAGATTATGTTGATATCACTCATTTTTTTATTCTTTTAAAAATCACCCCTGTTTTGGACTATTGATCTTGAAGATCCGAAATTTTTCTTTTTTAAAATTGTGACTTTGAACCTTCAAGATTTAAAGAAACGTTTTTTAAATTATGATTTCGTACCCTAACAAGTCTTAAGTGGAACCTTGAAATTCCAAAGCCATGCTTACTTGCAATCTTTATCGCATAATAATTATTAATAAAGGTCGGAAGCATTTTTGAAAAAAATAAAAAATTCCAAAAAACAGGTTTAGATGAAAAATACTGCGTTTTAGAAGATTTATGAGTGTAAAATTCCCTAAAACCTACTAGTGGATAAAACTGTCTATTTCTAGTAAAAACCATATCAAGAGAATCTATAGGGCACGAAATTGGAAAGAACCACCATCCCACAAACACCCAACTTTTGGTGGCCTGTCAATCCTCTCTGGAAATGGACAGCCCCTTCCACCAAGAACTTGCCTCATCATTTTTTATACATTATGCTATGAAGGAAATAGGGTCTTGGAGGTTTTACATGAGGAAAACGTTTGTATAACGGCGAGGCCTTAACAATTAAATTAAAGAGTACCTCAAAAATTTACTAAAAGAACTTGTTTCGATGCCTAAAAATCCTCAAATTGATCATATCGACCTCAAAATATATGAATATCAGAAAATTTGGATTTCAAGTCTTGAAAATAGTGCATCTTATAATATATTTTCTAGACCGTCAATTTTCAAGATTATCAAGTATTCATAGATCTGCTCCAAGGTTTCAAAAAACAAATTTGTAACTCGGATTGCTCGTACCAAAGACCGGATCGGATTGGCGATCTGAATCGGAAATCGGCCGCATCAGCAATCTGAATCGGAGAATCGGTCGGATCGGCAACATTCGACATTAAAATTTTAAAAAAATTACTAAATTTTCATAATTTTTTTTAGTTTTTCAAAAAAATAGTGGTATTGCTTAATATTTTTATTTTTTGTTAAAAATACGTAAGTACTAAGAACTTGTCTCATGTCTGAGTGTTTGCTCTTTATTATATTCATTTTATAATCAAAATAAAATTTAAAATGCAATTCGTTGCATTAAAATGGATATCTTTGAATCAAATTTACAGTGAGAAAAAAAAGAAGTCTATAATTATTTGGGACCTATTGATTTAATAGAAAACAAAAGCATGATCCTCATAAATAAATGAATCTAATGTGTAACAATTAATATGGACAAAATATAAAATTTGTAAACATAAATTTGTAATCATGTTATAATAAAATTAGAAAAATAATAAATAAATACATACTTGCAATGTGGAATAATTGATAAAACAACATGAAAATAGATTCCGAAGTGGTATGAGATTGCACTACTTTTTTCATTTAAAATGTTCAATAAAATAATATTATTTTTATTAAAATATTCAATAAAGTATTATTAGCATTAGTTTTTGTTTTTAAAATTTCCCATGAGCTAATACTATTTTTTTTTTATTCCCAATGAGCTAATATCCCAGTATTAATCCCATGAGCTAGTACAATCTTTGAGGGAGCTTATGTAATGGTATATGTACGAGCCAATTGTGGTTGTTGAAACACAGTGGCAGGGTGGAACCCAAGGGAAGGCTTTTTATGTGACCCAGCCACATATAAAGTACATGTGACTTTTTAGTCTCCGCCATCAGATATAAGTAGATGGTTAAGATGGATTGAGTCACAAAGTCACAAATTGGTTTTTTAACCTTCGGATTTGATCAGACGGCTCAAAGTTTTTTATTTTTAATTTTTATTTCTATAAATCATTTTAAAGAAAAATTTGGGGCATGCATAGATCTGATAGGGACGCACATGATAAAAATAATAATAAAATATTTTTATGATGAACAATTTACCAGAATACGAAAGACCTGACAAATGCCCCAGAGGTACAGCCAGAGGGGTAACAATCCTTTATGTTGTTAAGGGTAGCAATTAGGACTGGCACATCATTGCCATGTCTCCCGAGGAATTGAGGAAGTGGGGTTGGGGATGAGGGGAGGAAAGAGGAACAAGATGGAAACCGTAAGGCTCCCAACGCCTATCGGCGAGAACTACGCTTGGCTTGGTTAGTAGTGGCCGCCCATTCTGTCTCTTTCGACGGACAGGGACCAAGAAGTGCCTCGACACGCCGCATATGCCCATCACTCCGATAATGGCACCGAAGATGAAACTTAGAGCACTTGGCACATGTATTGGAGGTCTTGCAACAAGACGGAATATCATAGATGTCAGGTGCAAGCAAAAAATCCAGTTACGAGGGGGAACTTCTTTGAGCGCTATTGAAGAAGAGGAAGGGGGGCACGCTAAAAAGCCACAGCCCAAACGCTTTTTCATTCTTCAGATCAGATGAGAAGGCAAAACGAGAAGTGGTATATGTTTTGGTATATGTTTTGAAGGCCATCACAAAGATTTTCAGTATTGAAACCACATTTCTCTATATTATTTGAATGTACATTTTACTTTGATTGTTTAGAGCCTCGGCTCTATACAAACCACACCCAAAATAAAATAGTGTTTGGCATGAAGTACGTACAATCATGGCCATTCGATTCAGATCGTACTGCTAAGAAGTGGGGTTACATATGTGTTGTTGGGGCCGCAAAAACATTTCCCTGGACTCAAAAAAAGATCCCATACAAGAAGCGTCTCATTCAATAGAAGAGACAAAGAAGAGACAAAAGAAGAATTGTCGCACATCGAAAAAAATGTGGGAGTGAGGGTTTAGGGTTTGGTGTTTGGTAAGGGCACGCCATGGGAAAGCTAAACAATTGCTTGACATTTGTCTGACCAACATACATGTGGTGAAATCAAGGGCCACAAGTCCGACAATTACGACAGCTCCACATGTAGGGAATTCAAGAGCTACATGTCTGACAATGAAGGCAACTCAACATGTAAATCGCTTACTAGTGGGCCACCACTGCACATTCAATTGAAAAAGTTAGGAATTACAAATTTAACAATTGAAAAACATAAGAACATATTGAACCGTCATGTTCTCTATGACAGAACTGCAACAAACTGCTATGAACCGCCCAATTTTAGGGGAACTCAGCCAGATTCTAATGTATTAGGAGATCTAAAACAGTCAAGACAATTCTCGATCTGAATCAGACGATTCTAATTCGGACCTCCAAATTTTCAAACATTGATATATTCGATCTACACTATTTTTTATTCTTTAAATTTTATAATTAGAGATGAAAATAAACTTTCAGACCACCAACAGGACTCGAGTATTAAAAGAACATCTTTGAACAATATTTCAAGGAGCATCCGACTTTTAACTTTAATTGTTTAGAGTCTCAACCGCATACAAATCACACCCTTTTCATTAAGGAGGGCTAAACTATGGGGTGTTTCACGTTACTCATATCAACAACTACATCCAACCCACCTCTTGTCGGAGGTCTGCCTCAGTTTGGATTCTCATCGTTTCTGCAACATGCATCGCATTGCTTCCGCCTTCTATCCGGGTATGCAAACAGGTTCTTAATACATCAGGTATCAAGTCTGAGACGGTGGTAAGAAAAAATTCGTCTAGTTAACTCAGGAATTGCCCAAAGTTGACCAGGATCGGGACCCTGGTAATTCCAAAGTGAGGAAGCCCAAAATCGGGCAACTCTCCCTAGCATTACCTCCCTGTTATATTCCCAGAAAATAGAACACCTCAGACTCAGCCTCTGGCATGCCTCAGTCCGAGTCGGTCTGCATTTCTAAACACCAGTTCGAGTCACTAAAGGCAAAATAAGCATCGGTTGGCCAACGATCATTCCTTCAAACAAATATTGCATGTCTAATACAATCACCGGATCCACTAAAATTATTTGGCTTAATACATTCAGAAAGCAAGAAGAAACTCCTTTTATTGGAATGGAAGAAAAAAATGTTCTTAGATTGGAAAAACAATTGTATATTTAAGGGGTGGTGCTGTGAAAAATTTGAATAATATTCCTCACACTCAATAATACAAGCCTGTTTCCACATGTATCCTCGCACAAAAACACACTCACACACACACAGACAGAGTGAGAGAGTGAGAGAGAGGGGGGGCGGGGTAGAGAGGAGAGAGAGAGAGACCTGAGAACAAAATATAACATACTTCCATTCAATGACAAGCAGCTATGTTTCCACAACACCATTGTCTTCATGTCCAATGCCTTGTAACAGAACTTGTGAGATGGAGAGAGAGAGGTTAAAGAAACAGGAATGAAGAAAATATCCCCTTCTATTGAAACATGATTTCCCTCCTAGATTACTAGCTACACCCATGTACAACCATTTTCGTCTACCCCTATTTCACGCTTTGGATTTCGGAGTCCCATTCTGGAGCACCAAAATTCAGCTCCCATAATGAATAAGGAAACTCCATCCTTAAAAAGTTCCTCCACCCACACCATCAAACTTTTGAGAGAAAAGAACCCTCAAATCTTACACATTAGCAGGCCCACTTAAAAGTTCCCAAAAATTCCAAAAGAAGAAAAGAAAAGAAAAACTACATAGAAGGTACTACAGACCCCCCCAAAAGGGGAGAACCAAATAAGGAGTAACAAGATAGTTCAAAGAAATAAAGAGGAAAAGAAAGGAAGGTTTCACGGTAAGTTTACCTTAGCATCCTTCAATTGCCATCATCAGACATAAAAAACATGCATCTCCAACACAGGCCACTGCCCCCCACTATGCCATGAACTCAAAAGGGTAAAGAAACCCTAGAGAGCAGGGACCCACATGCGACACCTTAAAAAACTGGGACCCACATTCAAAACTGTAGAAAGCTTGGACCCCTACAATGTGTTGGGGGGCCTAACCAGGCCCCATCTCCTGCCCCCCTGGGCCTGTGAGCCCTGACATCGACCTCTGCGAGAATTCCACCAAAACCTTCCTCTGAGCTTCACTTGTATGAGGCAGGCTTGCCCGCAAAAGCTCAACCGGCATCTCTCTCGCAACTGCCCTAGCCACCTCACGCGCCCCAATGGGCCCAGGCCCACCAGGACCACTCACCACAGCCTGGATAATACTCTCGTATTTGCTAAAACAATACTTTGTAAGCAGACCAAAGAAGGCATCAAATGACGCTTGCCATAAGGTTCGATTAGGCATGCTATACGAGCCATGTGGGTCCATGAGGAGCTCAGTGGCTCGGTCTAGCACTGCCTTGACCACAACTGAGGCTCCATCACCTGCTGAGCTACCAAGCGGGCGCAAAGGTGGGTGCTCATTTGAACATGCAACAGCAGCCAAGCAAGCACTTAGTGAGCCCAGGTCCATGCCGTGGGCGCAAACAGATACAGTGAGGGCTAGGTTCATGGTGGTTTCCACAGAGTCAGGGTCAGATGGTAATCCACCAAAAAGGAACCGAAGGTGCCTAAAAATGGCCATTGCAACTATGCGTGTCAGCTCACTCCCTGGTGATAGCAATTGGAGGTAATGGGTCAGAAGCTTCCGGCCTTTGGGGAGAGAGACAATGCGTAAAAAGACCAGATCATCCTTTGGGGTTAGGCCCGAGGGCCCCTTTGCGGGCCCGAGTGGATCCACAAGTTGAAGGGAGGCAGCAAGACCCTCGAGCAAGGCTTGTCGGCGTCGACGAAGTTGAACCCCGCCATCTTGGGGCTGGCTAAATTGCAAAAGCCTATCAATATCATCAACATCAAGCAAGAGACAGAGGCCATCTTCAACGGCTATTCTCGCAGCTAACATGGGCTCTTGCTCGAGGGGCTTCTCAGCAGGCTTAGGCCCAAGTCCTCCAGGTCCATCAGGCGAGGCCTCAGGTGGGTCCACTTCAAGTAAGGGGCGGGGCCGTCTTATTGATGAAAAGGGGACTCGTCCTAGAGCATCAACTTGGAGATAGGCATGGGGCTCATTGTTGGCACGGGCACGAGGGGGTAAATCTCGGAGAAATGAGGGGCAAAAATGGTGCTTGAGGCGGGCCCCAGCTGAGCTCTTGGATAAGCAAGCTTGGTGATAATAGTCATCGACATATGGATCGCTACTATGGGTAGCAGCATGTTGCATTCGAAGTATGCTTTCTATCTCATCAGCTGACATATACTTGGACCGAAATTGAGGCCAACCATTGCTATTATTTTCATTCCTCTGGCTATTTTGGTCTTGAACATACCCGCCTCTTCTTGATCGCTGGGTGGCCTTGGACCTACCACCCTGGTCCATGGCCCCAATAGGCGGTTCAAACTTGCTCATCATCATGTGGGATTGTTGAGAATGTGGGCTAAAGAGCTGTGGGTTTATGCCTTGCAAATGGGTCATGACAGCTTGTATCGAATGTATCCTTTGTTGTTGCTGCAAAAACTGAGCCTGTTGCATCAATCCATTTGCCTGAGCCAGTGGTGGCTGCTGCATCATGCTTGGCAAGAGCCCACCATGGCCTGGCTGGTTCATCCAATGGCTCAGTTGGGGCCGGTTGTTTAAAGAAAGGCTTGAAGGGGCAAATTGTGGTGGGTGGATATTTGACATATTTGCTATGTAATGAAGGTTTTGAGGGGTAAGGTGAAGTTGGGGGGTCGGGAAAGGGGGTGGTGCAGTGGATTTTGAGGAAAAAGGAAGGTGGGGCCCAGGAGGTGAGGGTGAGGGCATATTGGGATGGCGTAATTGGTTAGGGGAAGAGTGGGACCGGCCGCCAGGGGGTGGGTAAGAGCTAAACGAGGACTTTGGCACAATGGGGTCACTCGACCAGTGAGGCTGTTGTTGGGGATAAGATGATGTTCTATACAGTGGCTTGGGGTCAGAGGGGCGGGCAGAAGAGGGTTGGGGTTGGGACCACCACCTCTTGCCTTCTTGTTGCACATTATCAGTATCGAGTATCGGTTGGTCATACCAGTTGGGAAAGTCGGCATCTTGGTTCCAATCAGCGGTGGCGGAACCTGAGATAAGGTTAATTGTTCAGTCATGGCAAATGAACAAAAGTTAACATCACAGAAAAAAAAAATTGTTCAACTTACCGTATTGCAATCAATAGTAAGAGCTCACCGTTAGAACAACTGAAATGAATTTTGCAAATCTTTTTATTTTTCTTTTAATATCTTTGTATGCTCTAGTGTGAATTCAGATTTGTCTTAGAAAGTGAACAAAAAATTAACATTATATAACGAGTCCTTTCTGATAATTCACAACTTTTCCTTGATAATTCACAAGCATTCTACAACTTTTTCTTTCGACCAGTGTGCAACAGTATAATAGACATTGCAATTAAACAAACGAGACTAAGTTGTAGTTCTCCATGTAATAGAAATGAACCTTGCTAAATTGCTTATTGTGCTGTTCTTACGGGCAGCCTTCATTTATTTTCTTTCTTTAGTAACTAACATTTTATTTTTGGATTTTTAGAAAATATAGAAGAGGAAAAAATCAGAAACGTTAAGGTAGTATCTGAGAAACCGTACCACCAAAGAACTCAGTTTACACAACCCACACTAACATTTGCCAACGAATATGTGTCGGTGTTAGCCTCTCCATGAACATGACTAAAAGAGATACAACAGATATGACAGGAACAAAAAATCCCCTTAGCAATATCAAGCAACCACCATGGCACCAGCGCCTCCTTTAGACAATCTAGGAACAATTAGACGATCTTCTTCCATTATGAGTGAGCCTTCCACCCAGACTATGCAAAGCTGATGGCCTAGAATGAGAGGTTTGGTCTATGTTCTAGTTTCTATTTCAAATATTTATTTCATTTAGCTATTCTTACGTCAAGTTTGTCATCTCCCACACAAATTGTTGCTAGGGCCGATGAAACTCCATGCCAAAAATTGTACGAGAATAAACTTAGTTTTGCTTTGTGGCTGATTCCAGGTTACCTAAGTAAAAGAAAGGAGAAATGCCCAGCAATCTTAACATAGTTATTTCTAAAATTAAGTAGCAACTTGTACGATCATATCTAAATAAAGCTAAAGCATTAATCCGTACGGTGTTCACATTTGGAAATTCAAAGCTTTACACAAAGCACGAGTATGAATATGAAGTACATATTTAGTATCCCTTTGATGCTGAAGATAGATAAGTAATAAAACACAGATCCACAACAGATAAGAAAATGCTAGTATCATCTTCTTGACAAATCCAAAAGATAGATAACTAATAAACCACAGATCCACAACACCTGAGAAAATGCTAGATTATCTTCTTGACAAATCTAAAAAAGAAAAATCAGAAAATAAAAGCCCTTGTCCTGGTTCATGAGAACTTGTTCTTTTTTTTTTTTGGGACAAAGTTTTTTCGACCTAGAATAACACCGGTTAAAACGGGCGATTTGGTTCAAGTAGAAGGCTCTAAAAAGGCAAGGAAAATGTCCAAAAGGACATAGATGAAAGTAGTGAGAAGAGATATGGTGAATGAGGATATGGCCCTGCATAGAGCGGAATGGCAGAACGAGATTTGTGTAGCTGACCCCAAATAATTAGGATAAGGCTTAGATGACGATGCTGATGATGGCTAGGTTTGTTCATGAGGATTTAACTTAATAGAAACCAACCATGCAAAAAGTATAGGAAATGATTTGGGATATGTGGGACAAGTAAATTCCTAAGTTAATGAGTTATTTAGAGACTTAATATGTGGTTTCTGAACAGGGACGTGGAAACAACGAAACATTTGATGTTATATGGTAGCCATACTTGGAAGATTTAGGGTTTGGACTCATAATGTTCCTAAACCAATAGGCCATGATTACAAGAGAACATGGTATATAGTACTCCAAAGGGGTATCCAAATTCATGATCACAGATTCCAGAGATTAAGGCCCAGTTTGGACGGCCCCACATTTATCTGGAAAGGCTCTTACCCTCGAATAGCCAAATGGACCAAACTATTTCTATTTATAATGATGAATAGGTGGGAGAGAGATCAAAGTTATTCGTTAACAAGTTCTCTGTCCAAAGTGAGCCTAACTGTATCAAGGAGAATGTCCCAGTAGAAGCAACTTTGGTTGATCTCCAGCATTGGTCATTAGGAATGGACGAAGGATTCCCCATTCGAGTACCATATGTCCATAGCATATCATACTCAGTTGAGCTATGGGGTACACTTTCACCAAATTGGAATAGGATAGGTACAAATTGGTATCAGAGATCTGCCTATTATGGACTCTCCATTCAGTAATGATGTAACTCTCTCCTTTCATGAACTTTTCATGGATCAAAAGGAAGACTGCCCATAATTTAATGCATAGAGATGTCTTTTTATGCATATAAATGAAGCTTAGTTAGAGAATCAAATTAGGCTTCATTTGCCAGTGCGCTGTGTTAGGAAACCTAATGCCTGAGGACTCTAGGAAATACAATGGAAATGGAAGCGCAGGGTTCTTTCTGTCTCTAATATACTACGAGGGAATCAAGCTGCGTTTTGAATAGCATATCGATTGTATTTGGTGTTGGCAAGTGTTTGCCAACACCTCCCCTTTGACCATTATAGAAACCTAAGCTGTAGTGCTTTTAATGCACTATAAAGCTCTTCCCAGCCTTAGCTTTGCAAGAGATAGTTGTTTATAGGCAAATATTTATATTATCAAAACTCAAAAGGGATTCACTGGGAATTTTTAGGCAAGATTTCTGTGGATTTTCCACACAACCAAAAGCCTTGCCTATATTGAACTAGTTGATTTATTCATGTTTAACATGGTTACTAGATAATGTCTTTTATCAACAATAAAAAATTATAAGCAATTATATTCTAACCATAAAAAATAATAATCAACAACCATATCCGGTGTTATCAAATTCTACCACAGTCCATTCCAGTTTGGCTGGGGAAGAGAACCCCTTTGGCACTTCACCCAATCTAGGGAAGTTAAAGTCTCGGGTGCTCGTTTTAAATATAAAATAAAGATGAGAAATCTCAGAAAATATATATAAAAGAAATAGTTGTTGACCCAAAAGGTTTGTAAGAAGCCAAAGTATTCTTTTTTGATAGAGTTCTTTCTTACTATTGCTAATTACTTAATTTGATACTTGTAATCAGTAAAATTATTATAAATAGTTTTGAAGAAGACCAGACAAAAAATGAACATGCTATGCAACAATGCTCAAACGTAAAGAAACCCCAGAATAGTAGTATTCATTTTTTTTAAGTCCTCAATGAATAACGAAATCAGGAGAACGATTTAAAATTTCCTTAAATTTCATTAATCGCCTATAATGACTTTCCTTTAATAGTAGTCATCTATTGTGACTTACATGTGCAAAGAAAGTGCCCTCAATCCTAGGAATATGCTTTTTTTATTATATGAAGCAAAGAACACCCCATATAGCAGGCTTGAATCTTATAAATAGGTCAATATAAACCCTAAAAAACATTTTAATATATACAAGACTTCCCTATGATGAAGATCAAATTCTAAAGAATGAAGTTCATTTGTTAATCTCTCAAAGAAAGACTAGCCCATAAAGAAACCTTTAGTTATTGTCAAAACTCAGCTACTTTTCAGAAAGCTTAGTGCTCTCCTACATACCCATTTCCATTAGATCCCTTTCCAAGGTCTTCTCAGGGATGAGAGGATGCCTTGAGGCAAATTCCGCGAACCCACTAAATTTAACTAGGTTTCCAAGAAATACCATCCATCCATGAACACTTAACCACTAAATCAAACAAGGCCTCTAAATTTAGCAAAGAAAACATAGAAAAGTAACCCTCCAGATCCACTCTCCACCCCCATTAAGCGGTTTACCAATGAAGAAATACCATCAATCCATGAACACTTAATCATTAAATAGAATGAGGCCTCTGAATTTAGCAGAGAAAACTCAGAAAAGTAACCCCCAAAGCCGCTCTCCACCCCAATCAAGCGGTTTACCCACAAAGAAATACCTTCCATCTATGAACACGCAAACTCAGAGGAAGACCCCAAAGTTTTTGCTGAAGTAAACTCACCACCTGGAAATGGCCAGTGAGGGTACAAACCCGTGGGACATGATGGTTATTCTTTTAAAGTCCTGAGAATGAAAGATCGCAATCACCACCGAAGGAAAACTGGTGTTCAGAGAGAACTCAAATGGTGCATTGGCGATGTTAGAGTTTGAAGAGAAATAGTGCAAGGTTTAGAGAGAGAGAGAGAGTGAGGTTTAGAGATACAAAAGGGATTTTAGGAGTTTTAGAGAGAGGGTAGAGGTTGTAGGGAGAGAGAACTGAATGCTTGAGAGAGAGGTGGTGGTTTCAAAAAGCAGCAAAATTTTGGTTGGCAGAGTTTAAAATTTCAGTGTGTTTCAGTGAGTCCGAACTTTCCAGTAAATTTACATGAGACTTGACTAAGGGCAGACAAACACCACTCAACTACATACTAAAAAATCGATTTGTGCCCATGGGTATTTTTGAAATTTTTTAAAAAATATAGGAAAATGTAAAAATAGGTATTTGTGGCCAAAACACTTTCCACCCTTTGCCAAAATGATAAACAAAAACATTTAAAAACGCATTAACAACAAATCCCTTATTTTTGGAGATTTTACATAATTCTTTTAATCTTTTTTAAAATACCCGACCGGATTACTCAAACCAACCAAAACTGGAACCGGGTAGTAGTCAGTTCTGATCTATAACCAGCCGGTTCCGATAACACAAATTCTGATCTACAATTAAAGGAGCTTCACTTCAATATGGAGGCTGAAGCCTAGGACATTGAACTCTTCAACTAAAGAGAAGTGAATCTGATAACATAAATTATATCTGATAAACGAAATTACAAAACAATTTTTTATTGATCACATCACAAAATAGCATTACAGGATGAGCTACCATGGTGCATGTTGTACGCAAATGACATAGTTTTGATTGAGGAGACTCGAAATGGCGTCAACACAAAGTTAGAACTTTGGAGAGATGCTCTAGAATCCAAAGGTTTTAAAATTAGTCGGACTAAGACAGAGTATGTGGAGTGCAAATTTAATAATAATAGGCGTAGAGTCAAGGAAGTAGCTAAGAATGACAGCCATGAAGTACAAAAAAGACCGCACTTTTGATATCTTGGGTCGATAATCCAAGAAAATTGAGAGATCAAGGAAGATGTCGAACACAAAATTAGAGCTGGGTAGATGAAGTTGAGATGTGCAACCGAAATTTTATGTTATCACCGCATACCAATGAAGCTGAAGGGCAAGTTCTATAGGATAGCTGTGAGACCGGTTTTACTCAATGAGACGGAATGTTGGGCAGACAAAAAACAATATACCCATATAATGAGTGTAGCGGAGATGAAGATGTTGAGATATATGAGTGGCAAAACAAGAAGGGATAGAATTCGCAATAAATCTATTCGAGAGAATTTAGGGGTGGACCAATAGGCAATAAAATGAGAGAGAGTAAACTTAGGTACGTTGGCCACGTGTGGCGCCGACCAAATACAGCACCTGTTAGGCAGTAGAATTAGTTCAAGTGGAAGAACTGAAAAAGGCAAAGAGTAGGCCCAAAAGGACGTGGTTAAAAGTAGTCCGAAAAGATATGGGGACTTATGGCCTCACTGAGGATATGGCCTTCAATACAGCAAAATGGATAACCAGAATTCATGCAGCAAACCCCAATTAATTGGGAAAAGGATAAAATGATGATGATGATGACATCACAAAAGAGCATTACAATTTACTTCTTTCCCTTATATGAACTGAGAAAATAAATAAAATGCAATACATATTTCCATTTCCAAGATAATCAAAACACTTTATCATGATTTATGCTCTCTCTCTCTC